TATTCATCATGGTTCCTATCTCCTCTGCTAGACACAACTGGAACCAATAGAGATTTTCATGTAAATTTAGTAGATTTGTCAGATTTTTTGTGTATTTAATTTTTTATCACATTATGTTTTGAGGTCTGTGTGTGTGTATATATATTTGTATGTATGTGTGTATATATAATGAAAAAGAGAAAACTTCAAAATGTAACCTGGTCAAAGTAAAACAATACAGTATTTAATGCTTCTGAAATTTTACTTTAAATTATGATAAGTTATTGACAATTGTAACCTTCATAGGCAGACTGGTGTTTTAACATGGAGGCTTTTTGTATTCATATTTGAAAGAATCTAATTCACTTCCACTAAGTTTAGAAAATTGGTTGGATGTTTTCGTTGTTATTATTTTTAAGAAAATACTTTTTTAAATTTACATTTCTCATTTTAGAATGGAGGAAAAATCAGTGTACCTGACAAAACTTCTCTAGAGTTGCTCTGTCAAGGATGTTCTGGTGATATCAGAAGTGCAATAAATAGCCTCCAGTTTTCTTCTTCAAAAGGTAACTATGGAAGATACATTTATGTGGCATTATATAGGTGATGAACTTTCTCTTAATTCTTCGTGAAATGAAATCAAACTAAACATATTTTAACTTTTAATTGGTATATACCTATGTACACTTAATTTTTCTTGTTGAGAAAGGGACTTAAAATTATATATGTACACATGCATATACAACCCCCTGTGAATATGTCATAGTAAATACTCTTATATCTGTTTGAGACAAAACTTGATTCATTCATATGGTTTGTTACTTTACCTTTCCTTTTTTTTCTTTTTTTTTCTTTTCGATAATTATTTTTTCCTCCTTGACACAAGGAAACAAACCTTTCCAAGTTAATTCAGAATGAGACTGCCTGGGCAAAAATCCCGGCTGTACCACTTACCAGTTGTATAGGCCTATGCAAGTCCCTTTATCTTTTCGTGCCTCCATTTTCTCACCTTTTATGACAATTTATCTCACAGGGTT